CGCTGACATACTGACTAAGGGGCTGGGCAGAGAGGCACACGAGTACCTGAGTCAGAGGATAACAGGCAGGCAGAACTTGTTATGAAGTGTTTATCTCGCTTGTGTGGTTTTAGCCACTTGCTTGAGGTTGCACTGGAGCACTCCTTCGCTTCTCTCCGATGGTGATGTCCGCTATCTGGATCTGCGGCTTCACTATGCTTCTCTTGTCCTTGCGCCCCTCTGATGGCCTTGGACGCGTTTCTTTCTGATCTTTCTTCTTGCGAAGGGCTCCTATGTGCAGATCTCAAGGTGGCGAAGACCTCACGCGCGGAGTTTCAGTTATAGTTTTATGGAGATTCATGTCCTAACTCTGCACCGACTTGAGAGGGGGTGTCAGAAGTGCAAGTCGGTCCAGGGTTTAGGGTCTAGGGTTCATAGACCGACGATCCACTGATCTGTGAGACAGGACGGCTGTTGAGTCTTTGTCCGTTCCATGAGACAGGCCATGGCGGACAGGACGTCAGACAGAATGGACTGACGCATACTACATGTCCTACATGGACTCTCCACAAAATCCACAGACCTTACGTTGCATTGACTTAATCCTTTATCCGGGACTGACCGCCCGGCAGATCCTCTCTTCACCATTCTCCCCGACTCTCTCCCCCCTATTCTGACACTCTGAGCTCGCTCGTCTGGAGGGAGCGGTTGTCTGGAGGGGTTTGCCCTTTGATTGTGTGGTTTGGCATCACTTGGGCACCTTCTGCTGCTTCTTCTCTTCTCTCTATCCCGCACACAAAACACTCGCAGACGCACACAGCCATGAAGGTCCTAGTCCCCCTGCTGCTGCTGGTCGGCGCCGCCATGGGCGAGTGGGAGAAGCCCTGGTTCTGGTGAGCGTCACGTGCACTGCACTGAGGCAGCCAGCCATGCAAACATGCATCAAGACACCAGAATGTTCCTTCATCTCTGTGTGTCTTGTGTGCTGTGGCGGGTATGTGTGTGGTGGTGGCAGCCATGACATCGACTGCCCCGAGTTCGAGATCCAGACGTCCGATGAAAAGACCAACTATGAGGTGCATGAGTTCGGCGAGTGGCTGCATGTTCTGTGCATGTGCATGTGTGTATGTGTGTGTGTGTATGGCTGTGTGGTGTGGTGTCGTGTGTGAACGTTAGGAGCGCACCTACGGCCCGACCATGTGGGTGTCGACCAAGATACAGACCACTGACTGGAACATGGTAAGCAGGGAGACAGACAGACAATACACAACACCTGACGCCTGCCGCCGCCTGACGTGTGTGTGCTGTCTGTCTGATATAGGTCGGTGCGACAGGCTTCCAGCGCCTGTTTGGCTATATCAGCGGGCAGAATGACAACGGCACCAAGATCGAAATGACGGGTGAGCAATGAAATGACTGGCAGCGGCCAAATGGCGCGGCAACACACAGGGATGCGTATGTGTGTGTGGATCACACAGCCCCTGTGTTGACTGAGGTGATGGCCGGTCCCGGCCCGGCCTGCGGCTCCGACTTTGTGGTGTCCTTCTACATCTCTGAAAGCGTCGCCAACCCGCCCAAACCCACTAATCCTGATGTACCACACACACACACATGCGCAAATCGTCACCATGATACCCATCATCACACGTGTGTGTGTGTGTGTGCAGGTGTACCTGCAGAAGCGTCCCCCGATGCGTGTGGCTGTGACGCAGTACGGGGGGTTTACCTACAACTATGAGAAGAAGATCGTGCCGCACATCGAGACCCTCACCAAGGACATAGAGGTCAGTCAAGTCAGGGAGTTCCCTCTGGTGTGTTGGGTGTCATCTCTCTCTCTCTCTCTCTGTGTGTGTGTGTGTGTGTGTGTGTGGCTGTGTGTGGTTGTGTGTGACATAGGAGCGTGGCGAGAAGTACTCGGACCCCGACGCGCCCGTGCTGTACGTGGCGGGGTATGACCCGCCCTTCCGATTCTTCAACAGACACAATGAGGTCAGTCAGCAAGGGGGGGGGGGGGGGGGGGGG